TATCAACTTGAGTCTTATCGATGACACAAACCAGATAATTAGGCAAAGGGTCTCTCTAACAAGAATTGTGTTTAATATTACTCTGATGTGATGTCTGCTTACTTAGCTGTAATGTCCAACGATCACAGACAAGTTCAGATAGTAGTTTTCCTATTTGTGAACACGGGGGCGGTGAGGTAGCCTAGGTTGGGTTTGTTGTTGTTGTTGTTTTTTCATCTTTTTTTCGGTACAAAATCATGACATCAAATGACAACCAAATATATAGCATGCGTATGTATGCAGATTTTGGTGGTATCTCACATTGACAAGCATATTATACAACATGATTTTGTAGGAAAATGGGCCAGTTGTATGTTAATATCAATCAAACAATTGATGGCAATCAGACCGGAATCCAACAAATTTGGAAAAGTTACAAGGAGAGATGTCATGTGATGTCTCGATATTGAATTTAAACTTTACTTATTTCCTTTCTGATCATATCGAAACCTCTGTACATGTATATATAGTATTTTTTAAAAACGTAAATTTGACAACTGTTATCAGGAGATTAAGGACATCGTTCCTTTTTTCAGAGAATCCAAATATGATTTTCTTCTTATCGATATTCAATGTGATATCTGTTCTTGTTCTTATCCAATTGAAAAATTAATTCCATATGTTTTAGAATTTGGACAGTCGTAAAAGAGATGATAATGATTTCCGCTTTCTGGTGCATTTTTACAAAATGAGCATAATTTACTCTCTACATATCCCATCTTAAACAAAAGTAGGTTTGTTGGCAAGATTTTATGCACTAAAGAATATTGGAACCAACTTAAATCTGAGCTCGAAATATAATCTTTTCATAGGATTTCCATCTTTTTCACTTATATTCGTTTCAAGATCATCTTCCCATATTTTTTTTTATAGCTATATATAGCTGAGTCTAAAATTGAAATAGGTATATCATAATATCTCTTACAGCCTTACTTATTTTCAAAGATGTCTTTAATGTGATAAGGAATTAATGGTAATTCAAGTTTTTCTGCAGATGATATGTTGTATGTTTTAAAATATTTGTTAACTGCTCTTACTTGGCTTGCATATTCTAAGAAGTTCGTTTTTAAGTGGTCTCTAGTTTGCTCATAAAATACATTTTAAGTGGTCTCTAGTTTGCTCAAGTATACATTGTTCCATCAGTGTCTATCAAATCATTTACAAATGTCATGTCTATTTTAGCGTAGTATGGGTACACGAATGGGTTTTTTATCCAAGAGAATTGGTTCATTGTACCCTAAACATTGCATAGAATGTCATTGCCCTGAACAACTGTTTTATTTATCAATTGCGTATAGAAACCCCATGCTCAAAGAGCGTCCTTCCCAAAACAGTTTGTTTTTTTATTTATAATTTTTTGTTATGTAAATGTTTCTCCCTTTAGGAGGATATTTTGTACGTTTTGTGACACATTGTAGGAAAAGATGGCAGTCTGTTTGGAGTCCTTTAAAAACATTCTCTTAGACCACGCAATTCTTTTTGGATTTATAGTCTGTTTTATGTTGGGCCACTAAAACCGCCCTCCTCATATATTGGTCTTATGATATCACGTTTAATCTTATAAGGTTTTCTTATACCATACAAAGGAGAAACATAGTTTTTCTGGGGTATCCTAGTGGTTAAAGCGTTAACGTTCGTTCGTCACGACGAAGACCCGGGTTCGAGTTCCGAAAGGGGCTTGTAACGCTAAAAACTGCCATCAAGGTATATACTCTCACTGACGGGGTCTTAGTACTATATTAAAGGAAAGGGATGTAACGAGGTCAACACACTAAGTTCGTTTCAGGGCGAATTCAACAATGCTCACTGTATTTAGCCCATTTAAAGTATGCACACATTTCAAGTCAATAGAAGTACCTACAAAATGAGACATACAGCACAAAAATCGAAGCAGTACTTTGGGAGCTACGGTCTTCGGAAGCTCGAAAAATCGTGATTTCTCGATTCCGAGCCAAAATCCCTGCTCAGAATTTGTATCGGTAACTCACCCATTTTCTTGTTTATTTCACAGTATACACATACGACATTCACCAAAACATGTTGAACTGATGGCGCCTGTCAGCGCGCTAGTCGCCATTCTTTCGGAGACACTTACATCTCACTGTCATAATGAGTTTACGTACATTTATTCATCGCAAACAGAAGTGTGTCGTGCCCGTTGGCCATTGACGACCTTGGCCTTAACCTGCCCCGCACTGAAAAGAGTCAGCGATTTGATGGGACATATTTTATTTTTAGCCAATGAGCTACCTTGCTCTTTTAAGTGCGGGGCACATGGGTACAATGTGTGAAGCCCATTTCTGGTGTACCCTGCCATGATATTGCTGGAATATTGATAAAACGCATGTGTAAACACACATATTCGCAAATAGTTTGAAATTATATTGAGTGATTCGTTAGGGCATTGTTTACGTGTTGTTGATACTGTTACAGTTAACTCTTTAATGCTAAAAATATGTCTTAAAGATGAATTCTTCATAAAATAACATTACACGATGAAGCAATTATCCTATGCGCTCAGCATAGTGAATAACGTATACATTACGATTACGTATATATTGTACTCTCCGATGACTCCTTTAATACAATTTGTATCACAATAAATATGATATTTGTATATGACAATAACACCAAGAATAATAATCTTTATACAACCAACATCTTTTTCGCATTTTTGACAGTTTTGCAACGTTTTACACAAGATACAGGTTACTATGATATTGTACTGGTTTAACCCATACCCAGATGCCGTTGAAGCATGAAAAAAGCAGTAATAAAAAAATTAATGTAAACGATCGTAGTTATAATACTAGTTATAATTAGTTTGTTTGATATAATCGTCCTGAATGGGTTTCGCATGAGTTGTGGGCACATATAGAAATATGATCTCATAAAAGTGTACGTAACTCAATGCCTTACAGTGGTTGTATGAGTTGGCTGTTGATAGCATGTTATATCGTGCGCTATAACGTTTGACGACCGCCTCCGTGTTGTAGTGGTTAGAGCGTCCGCCCGGAGAGCGGAAGGTCGCGGGTTCGATCCCCGACCGCGTCATACCAAAAGACGTTAAAATATGGTACTTGTTGGTCTCTGCCTGGCGTTCGGCATCAATGGGTACAACAAGGACTGGTCGGCTCGGAGTCAGTATAATGTGTCTGAGTGGGGTATTCATGCTTCACTGCGGCATGGTATCTCAGTGGGCTAGCACTATAAAACCAGCTTAAGTCTGGGCTAGTACAAGCAGCCGCACATACACATACACACGCATGCACGTCGTCATATGAGCGAAATATTCTCAAGCACGACGTTAAACCCAATTTCACCTCACCTCACCTATAAAGTTTGACAGACTTGATGATTTACTCCCATCTGTCATACGTCCCATTTGTACTACCCCGTATTACAGATGGCAAGATGACGATTTGAGCGCTCCTTTAGGGTTCGGTAAAAATATGGAAGCTTATTCGTGCCACAATATAAAATAATTGAACATCTACGTAGATTATACTTTACCTCTTCGCAGATGTTACTTTCACCTACGTAGATATTGCTATAACACTACGTAGATGATACTTTCATTGACACAGAAGATACATCTACAAAGATGTTACTTTCATCCACGCAGAAGATGCATCCATGTACGTAGAAGGTACTTTCATCTATGTAGAAGATACTTTCACCTACGTAGATAATACTTTACCTCTACGTAGATAATACTTTCATTTACGTAGAAGATACTTTCATCTACGTAGAAGACACATTCATCTACGTAGATGTTACTTTAATCTACGAAGATCTTACTTTCATCCACAAAGATGTTACTTTCATCTACGTAGATGTTACTTTCATCTACGCAGAGGATGCATTAATCTACGTAGAAGACACTTCCATCTACGTAGAGGGTACTTTCTTTTCGTAGAAGGTACGTTCATCTATGTAGAAGATACATTCATCTACGTAGAAGGTATTTGCATGTATGTTGAAGATACTTTCACCTTCGTAGATAAATACTTTACCTCCACGTAGATGATATTTTCATTTACGTAGAATATGCATTCATCTACGAAGATGTTACTTTCATCTACGTAGAAGATACTTTCATCTACGTAGAAGATACTTTCATCTACGTAGAAGATACTTTCATCTACGTAGAAGGTACTTTCATCTATGTGGAAGATACATTCATCTACGTAGAAGGTACTTTCATCTATGTGGAAGATACATTCATCTACGTAGAAGGTACTTTCATCTATGTGGAAGATACATTCATCTCCGTAGAAGGTACTTTCATCTATGTGGAAGATCTACGTAGAAGGTACTTTCATCTATGTGGAAGATACATTCATCTCCGTAGAAGGTACTTTCATCTATGTGGAAGATACATTCATCTCCGTAGAAGGTACTTTCATCTATGTGGAAGATACATTCATCTACGTAGAAGGTACTTTCATCTATGTGGAAGATACATTCATCTACGTAGAAGGTACTTTCATCTATGTGGAAGATACATTCATCTACGTAGAAGGTACTTTCATCTATGTGGAAGATACATTCATCTACGTAGAAGGTACTTTCATCTATGTGGAAGTTACATTCATCTACGTAGATAGAAGGTATACTTGGAAGATACATTCATCTACGAAGTTACATTCACGTAGATACTTTTATTTACGTAGATGATACTTACATCTACATGTGCAGATGAAAGTATAAAGAAGTATAAGAAGTATTCTGGTTGTGATAAACATGTCAGTTTGTTCTGGTTGCACTTGGTTGCCATTGAATATTAATCTGTTATGTTCTTAAGGTAATGTCCAGATGACTGTCCGGACGATGTGGGACTTGCATGCAATCACTGGGTTGCCTGGTCCAGTATTTACACGCCACCACGAGATAGCAGGACTATTGTTAAACGTTCAGTCCCTCGTTAACTCTACCTCACTCAACTTCCCAATCTGCAGGTGCGTTCCTCATCCCATTCATGGTGTGCCTGGTGCTGTGTGGTCTCCCCTTGTTCTTCCTCGAGGTGGCACTGGGACAGTTCGCAGGAAAGAGCGCGATGCATATCTGGGGCTTCTGTCCCTTGATGAAAGGTGGGTAAGCCGCATTGAAGTAATGTCCTACAAAACCAGCCTGTTATTTTCAAACCAAAAGTCATTGTGAGTACATCAAGAATATTAGGACATTTTAATCTACGTAGTACGTAATTTGGGCATTATCATCCATAAAAATGCAGTTAGGACGCACTTGTTGTACCAGAGGAATGATTACAGGTAGGTTTACACCGAAGAGTGTGAAGAGTGGAGCACATTCATGCCACACATTTTGTATGTTGTTTCTGAGGGTGGTTGTGTTCGGGTGGTGTTGTCAATGTTATCAGATAAATCAATTTGACAGCCACTAAAGGTTATATATTCTTTGAATATTTACCTTTCAGTAACATGTCGGCCAAAATCGCTATCGAGATTGATAAAGGTATTAAACTGAAAATACTTTGTTGCTTATTTTTTTGTGAGGAGTATAGTACTATGTATTTATGACCAAGAATAAGCTGATTAATTCTGTTGCTTGAAGTTCGATTACCTTGAAGAATTGAATTTAAGTTAAAACCATTAGTGTAGAAATATTTATCTGATCTTATTAAGTCATAACAGGGGCAAGAAGAGTAATGGAGAGAATCTTCCAATGGATACCCACATGCACCATTTGGATTATTTGAAATATGTCTATCAAAACAATGAGCGTTCAAGTCACTACAACCCAACCTGAGTTGATCATGGAATATTTGATAAAATCTAGATCCAAAGTTTTTAACGAAGAGAGTATTTCCTTGTTTGGTCTGTAATCGGGTTTTGAACGAATGTACTGATTGTGAGTTATTTTTTTCGGTTGGTAAATTGTTCCATAAACGTATGGTGTCTGGTAAAAAGGAGCGTGCATACGACTCTGTATGGCAACGAATTGTGCGAATACTATCAGTATTTCTCAGATTGTAAGAACTTAAAACTGAAACGTGTTCTGGAATTAAATCAGATAAGTAGATTGGAGTAAGGTTATTGTGCATTTTGTAGAATAAAGGAAGTTTCTTCATTTCTCTAGCTTAACTAATGGTATGAAATTGGTCTCCTTGTAGATTTTTGTTATAACTAGTTCCTCTCACTGCTCCACAAATCGTTCTTAGATCTAATTGTATATTTTCTAGAATCATAGACTGTTCTTTCAGACAGTTGTCCCATATGTTGCAACAATAATCTAAATGTGGAATTAAAGTATATAATAGGTATACATACATTCTAATGTATGTCTAGTTAATCTATATTTAAAGTTTCTTAAACAGTGTACCATAGGACGTACAACCTTTACTATTTCTTCAATTTGTTTTTCCAATAACAATCTTTTTGAAGATAAACACCTACATGTTTATGGATATGTACTGCATTTACTTGAGATCCTTTCATGTCTATGCGTGAACATACAGTGGGATTTACTTTGCATGAGAATAAAATCTATTCAGTTTTTGTTGGATTGAAATTCACTTGCCACTTATCGGCCCAATCAAATACGATTTAAGTCATTATTCAAAATTCTTGCAGCTTTGTCTGGATCTTCTACAACTATATACACTGATGTGTCATGAGCAAATAGTCGAATGTTGCTGTTGATGCCATCTACAATATCATTGATGTATACTAAGAACAGTAGCGGCCCTAAGACTGATCCCTGGGGGACCCCTGTCGATATATGTTTTAAATTTGATGATCGGCCATCTATAATTACTCTTTGTACTCTATTTCTAAGATAACTGCAAAACAATTCAATTAAGCCACCACGTATTCCATAAGCCTCTAATTTAAACAATATACCCTTGTGCCATACTTTTATATAGTCATATAGATATGTAAGTCATATAGATATGTAAGTTGATAAGCAGTACAGTCTCCTGGCACAGGGCCCCGTTTCACAGAGCTCTCGTAGCGCTACGACTATCGTAAGTCAATGTTACAATATAGGATGTACGAATGCTTCGAGAAAAGTTATGAGATCTTAGGCTTACGAGAGCTATGTGAAACAGGGCCCTGTGCCACTAAATTCATGTCTATTTTACACTGACGTTTCCATGCCCAAACAACCATGTGGTATAAATAATGTTTAGACTTTGACGAACAGTAGAGTCAGGCGATATTATTATATTTTGGTGTGCACTACATCTGGTTAACAAAATATTCCATGATGAGAGAGGCCAGACAGACCAGCAAGCTCGTGATCATTTTAGAAAATCAGATTACACGTCCAACAGATACTATTGTGCGATCCTATTCATTACGGTTCAGCCCCAGGAATATAAAAACAACCCTAGATTTTATGCAGCTAACTTGCAGTCAGGCAAGCTGTGAATATGAATGACGGCTGTAGTTGTTTTTGGGTTTCCAACCACAAAACACGGTTGAAAACGACATAATGTTTAAAACACCGACACTATAGCAAATGGTACCTTGGCAGCCAACGAAAATTGTCGTTATCAAGTAATGCTCCTACTAGTGTACCATCAGTGTGTCTTTCAAATAGTTGCTCTTCCAATGTTACGGTATGCACAATTCACATTCAGCCTCCAGTCCGTGGTCAGCTTTTCATGTTACCCCAGCCAGTGGTTGCGTCAACCGAATGCGCAGTTTCCGGCATGTTCTCATTTCGCCTACTTCCCAATTCGCCTACAGTCTTAAAACAACATTTCATGGTCTGTTAACTGTTGATTACGCAATGGTAAATTAGGTACCATTATAAAAAGCCCGAGCTTACACATGCTTGTTGCCAAAATGATTGGGCAAGCCCACAATACTATCTAGATATAAAGCTTTGCAACCTATCGGGCTTACACGAAATAATTGGCTTGCTAGGCGAATGGCCGACGTAAGACGCAGGGGTTATAATCAAATGAACTTCAAAACAGAATAGTGAAAATAGTGCGACTTTTAGAGATAATATTTCCATTACTTGACATTGGAACCCTAACCATTGAAAAACAACAGTGAGTGAGTTAGTTAATATTTTACGTCACATCGGCAATATTTCAGTCATATTGTGACGAAAGCAATTTATACATTAATGGTGGCGAAAAATAGGTTTTAAATTTGTTTATGTTGTTATGTCGCTTTTCTTCAGAAACATTTTATAATGTTACATTATATAATACATTAAATAATAAAATGTAGATTAAGAAAGATCCGGCTGATCTGTTTTATTTTTTTTGTAAATGTCCCCAAGACGGGGAATATTGCGATAAGAAAGCGGTTGTGTTTCTTATCTCGGAATGAGAATGGGATAAGATACACAGAACAAAATAAGGACTACGTATATAGCTTTCGTGGGTGTTTATCAATTTTGGTCCTAGGTCAGATAATATGAAAAATGATGTACTCAATGACTTGAGTATTAGGCGCTGACTGCAGGTCGTTTTAATTGTCTGTAACTATATAGGTTTGGGCATCAGCATGACGTTGTTGTCGGCACTGACGTTGATGTACTACCCCATCGTGCTGTCGTGGTCGGTGTACTTCCTCGTGCAGTCGTGTTCCCAAGTGCTGCCATGGACGTCGTGTGGAAACTGGTGGAACACGCCATCCTGCGTCGTCACCTCGGCACAAAAGTATCATCGTTTACTCACCAACGACAGCACCGTCACTGGTGATATCGTGTTGCACAACATCACCGACGATGGACAAATGCGTCACACCACAGTTGGGACTAATACCACGCTCTCACACACTGCAGCGGAAGAGTTCTGGCAGTAAGTATATTTTCACCCGGATGTACAACGTTTGATGGGGAGAGGGTCTCCAATCCGACCCATCTACTCCTGGCCGTGAAACCGTTAAGATCCGGGTTAGAATTGGCCTTCAGCAACATATGCTTGTCATAAGAGGCAACTAACGGGATCGGGTGGTCAGGTTCGCTGACTTGGTTAACACGTCATCGTATCCTAATTGCGTAGATCGATGTTCATGATGTTGATCACTGGGTTTTCTGGTCCAGACTCGATTATTTACAGACCACCGCCATATAGCTGGAACAGTGCTGAGTGCGGCGTAAAACAACAAACAAACAACCTAGCCGTGCACCCGTTGGACACTGCACTTGTTCGCTTGGGACGTTGGTATCTGGTAAATTAAAATCACTTTGCCGCGATTTCTTAACCCAAACAGCACTTGAGAGGTATCTTTTGTTGCAAGGGTTACTGTTCATAATATTTCAAGAAGAAAATTGTTTCTGACAGGATTATTGAATATTTCGAGTCTTTCGTGTGCGACATGTAACTTCTTACGGTTCAAAGGTGAAAATCAACAAAACTTGGGTACTGGAGTGTGGTATAAGTGAGCGAGTTACCGTTTTGGACAGTATTGGCAGAATGGTGTGGGCGAGAAGCCAAACCCGTGATGACGTTAAACGTCAACCACGTTGGTGAATCTTGCTATATGTATTAACACAAACCAGGGTTTGAACCATGATTACAGGTGCCTAGCACGCCTAAGGGACATAACTCCGCACAGTGATATGACGTTTTGACGTAAAAGATGTGTGAGTCAGCAACTTGCCCACTTCGCTACAATGTAAATGTTCGTAGGTACAACGTTCTGCGTATCTCCGACGGGCTGGACAGTGTCGGAGGGATACAGACTCACCTGGCGCTGTGCCTCATGACCGGATGGATGATAGTGTTCCTGTGCATCATCAGAGGAATCAAGTCCGCGGGAAAAGTAATAAAAACAAAACTTTACCTGGTATACACCAGCGTTGGGAATTGATTAAATTCTCATAATTGATCTTTGGTTCATTACAACCGATCAATGATCGAAAATAATTGGTTTGCGTCATTTATCAAATTTTCCTCTTATGTTTGTTAATGCACAAAAGTTTTTGTGTGTTTTTTTTTTTGTTTTTGCAAATTGCACAAAATGCATTTGCAAATTCCACATCTCTAAATTATTACTAGTATGTTAGGAACATAAATGACCTGGCCTGGAGTCTCTCGAAAAGATAAATTTACTCATGATTTCGGGACTGAGTTTGGTAATTTGCAAATGAAATGTAAATTTAGTGACACAGACAAAACCAATCGTGTGAAAAATATTGTTAATGCAAACAAGTGTTCCAAAATTGTTTGTGTTCGATTATGAGAAAAGACGATCGATTGCTTGGTCGTTTAGTCACTGCGACCAATAATTGATTATTTCAATTAATCGGACCACCACTAGTATACACAGATATGAAAAACAAAACAAAAACTATAATTATTCAAGATGAAGAAAGGTTTGTCAGTATCACTGGATACAGATAAATGCAACAAAACACGATCGTCATCATGTGTATTTGCGTGACGAATGTTTTCCCCGAGATAGAATATATCCAGTTCCCGTTGATTTTAACTACATGTAGTTTGCTCTTTAATGACGCTAGTTCGAGCTTTCGGTTTACTGAAAATGAACCGTTGTTGTAGCCATTATAGTCTGTTTGCAGTGAGAACTGAGATTTTAATGTTCAATTGGCAAGGTAAAGTTATGAGGATTCGCAATCTTAATTTCACTTTATTTGATTTACTTTTTGTTTAATGTGAAATTCATTGGTACGTTTTCACTGCAAACAGACTATAGGAAGTTATTATTCACTCACAGGCAATGCTGATGATTTTACCTGAGCTACATCAACTGTTGATGGAAGATGTGGAATAGCGCAATGGTTAAAAATGTTCGCTCGTCACGCCGTAGACCCGGGTTCGATTCCCCACGTTGGTTCAATGTCTGAAGCCCATTCTGGTCCCCCGCCGTGATGTTGCTGAAATATTGCTAAAAGCGGCGTACAACTAAACTCAGTCAACTGTTGATGATGTGGGTCTGTTTGTTTCTGATCACCTCCCGTATTGTACAGGTTGTATACGTGACGGCTACCCTGCCCTACCTGCTTTTGATCATCCTCCTGATACGCAGTCTCATGCTACCCGGAAGTGACGAAGGGCTTCTTGTGTACATCAGAGCCGACTTTAAAAAACTCACGGAGATACAGGTAGGCTGTAAAATCATATACTTCCCATCTAAAGTTTAGACTCACTTAAAACACTCACTATATGTTATGTATATATGGTTACATCGAAGATTGATTTCTCCACTAACTCTGGGGAACCAACTGTAAACTTTATGCATATGAATTGCACGAGGATCATGCATCAAATTGCTGAAAAACATGTGCAAATATCGTGCATGTGAACAGCTGCAGTTTGGTGTGATGTTTTGATAAGAATTCGCAAATTTTCACTGATTTGTATCATTAACTGAACTACTGAAAATAATCTTTTCAACGTTACGAATTTGTTTTACAATACATCAGTTCATATGTAGACAGTACGTTTTATCAGTAAGGAATATTTTGCAAAATTTAGCTTAGAACAGTGGCTTGAAGTAAGAGGCTATTTTTACACTAGTGAGTCTAAACTTTTGATGGGAGGTATATATACTGCCAAAGCCTCAGCAAATTTCATTCACTGCACGAAAGATGTTTGTTTGTTGGTTTAGGGAATACTTAGATGGTCTTTCGTATTAAACCCGTGAAGATCCGGGTTAGAATATTGATCTTCAGTAACCCATGCTTGTCATAGGAGACGACTAACGGGATCTGACTTGGTTGACACATGTCATCGGTTCCCAGTTGCGCAGATCAATGCTCATGCTGTTGATCACTGCATTGTCTGGTCCAGAGTCGAATATTTACAGACCGCCGCCATATAGCTGGAATATTGATGAGTGTGGCGTAAAACTAAACTCACTCACTCACAATATTCAAATTTCACAGAAAGACACATTGTGATCTAATTCACAACTCCTTACTCACCAGCTCTTACGTTTTCAATGAGACGGTGGGGTAGCCTAGTGGTTAAAGCGTTCGCTCGTCACTCCGAGGACCCGGGTTTCGATTCCCCACATGGGTACAATGTGTGAAGCCCATTTCTGGTGATATTGCTGGAATATTGCTAAAAGCGGCGTAAAACTAAACTCACTCACTCACTCACTTCAGACGCGTGACATTCCTGATCTTCAATGACCCATTTACAACATGTTTATTCCTACAAAGTAACTTTGTGTTATATGGTAAAGCCTTTTCATGAACTAACTCTGAAATGGACCCTGTAGCTACAAGGGAAAATATGTTTACTACTCAAACTGCAATATGCATGAACACACACCGTATGTCAGGCAGCACCACCATGTGTCTGGTAGTAGAATTGTCTACAATCCTGTATATTTTAATGGTGACATTTTAGTCATTTTGCAAACCTATTTAAATATACAAATGAGCATTTATCAAGCACCGTCTGTTTTGATATGATGTACGAGAAACCTACAAGCTGTTGCATGTGCTATGAACACCTAATTCTGAAGGGTAAAATGGTAACTGTAACGTACTGTCTTCGGATTAAAACCAAAAGCAAACTTAAATTGAAATTTGGTAACAATTTGCATGAAATCTAAGAGGAATACACAAAGACATGCAAATCGAAAATGACTACGCCACCAATTTGATTGTTACACAGTCCTCAAATATTGAATGTTGTGACTGTCGACAACATAAGTGTCTTTGTAACCGCCCATCTCACGGATAACACCTGCCAGTCTCCTCCTCATACAGGCAAACAAGCGCCGTGTCTGCGTGAATTCTTGCTTAATTTGAACAGGGGACCTCCAGCAGGATCTTGGAGTCCAAAATCCCAAGATGTTCGACGGGGTCAATATAGGGTCTCCTTGCGGGCCATGGTAATGTGTCGATGACGTTGTTTTGCAAATGGTCGATGGCGGCTCGAGAATGTTGTCATCCATGAACATTGGACGACTGGCAAGGGGATGGTTATCAAAATTTGGCACGACGGCGGTATTCAGTACTTACTGTTGATAACGTTGACCACTGAGTGTCCTGGTACTGTAATGAGACCCAACCTGCAGTCATACGAAACGCAAGCACACATCATCAATGTGTCACCACCAAAATGGTTCAGCTGCAGGGGTCATCTTCTGGTCATATGCCTCGTCACGACCTCTCCATACTTAACAGCGGTAGCATGTAGAAGATAACGACTTTCATCGGACCCATGGCAGACCCATGAAGATCCGGGATAGAATTATCTTCACCAACCCATATGCTTGTCGTAAGAGGTGACTAACGGGATCGTTTGGTCAGGCTCGCTGACTTGGTTGACACCTGTCATCGTATCTCAATTGAGTAGATCGATGCTCATGCTGTTGATCACTGGATTGTCTGGTCCAAACTCGATTATTTACAAACCGCCGCCATATGGCTTGAATATTGCTGAGTGCGGCGTAGAACTAAACTCACTCACTCTCTCGCTCTATGGCCGTCGGAGTTCTTCGCCTTGGGACTTGGGATTGCGTCTTGACATAAATTAGGACTCAGACATAACGGCCGTTGTCTTCCACGGTCTTCCAGGTTTGGGTCGCTCCTTCACGTCACCGATGGCATCGTCACGTGTAACCGTGCGGTTAATGTTCACGTTAGCACCGATGTTGACAGGACATCCCTGCATATCCATGCCAAAATTCTGTAGTTTATATTCTGTAGTTGATATTCTGTAGTTTCTGCCATGTCTAGAAAAAGTTGGGTTTTTTTGTACTGTACTCTTTTAATTTATTTGTTTGTTGTTTGGCGCCGAGTCAGCAATATGACGGCGCTTTATAGTGCAGTTAACACACATGTCACTGCTGAATGTTACCAAACGGGAGAAAACACACGCAGAAATAAATGCAGCTTGATTAAAGCAGTGTACGTTCTGCAATTATGAAATTTATACCTTAATGTGCTTGGCGCATTCACAGCAAGTGAACATACGACCCATAGCTTTTGAGATATCGCGCTTTGCATATGCATTCCAGTATGCAAGGGATGAGCGAACGTTTGGACCAGAATATTAAAATCTGTCCTTGGATTTAGGAGATGCTTAATTAATGCATGTGTTAATATATAATATATCAGTTTGATGAACCTCTTCACGTAACCATGGTTAACTGTGCTACCTGGTGCAGGTGTGGCTGGAGGCATGTCTGCAGGTGTTCTACTCCCTGGGCCCCGCGTGGGGAGGCCTCATCACCATGGCAAGCTTCAACAAATTCGACAACAACTGTCTCAGGTGAGAGTTACTTCAATGTTATGAATACCCACATCTGAATCTGGCATAGGCATGCAATTCCCCCTTATTAGCAATTCAGCTTTTGTGTGTGCTGCTTTGAGTTATAAAGTAATATGGAAGCATGTTAGGGACACAGTCATAACACAATTACCATCTGCCTAGATAACATAACATCTGCGTACATTTAACAGAGAGAAAATATGAGAAGAAACAATATATGAGGTCTCACGAGGTGTAAAAGTACGGTATGTGAGCTCTCACGAGGTGTAGAGGTACGGTATATGAGGTCTCACAGGGTGTAGAGGTACGGTATATGAGGTCTCACGGGATGTAGAGGTACAGTATATGAGGTCTCACGGGATGTAGAGGTATAGTTTATGAGGTCTCACGAAGTGTAGTGGTACAGTATATGAGGTCTCACGAGGTGTAGAGGTACAGTATATGAGGTCTCACGAAGTGTAGTGGTACAGTATGTGAGGTCTCACAGGGTGTAGAGGTACAGTATATGAGGTCTCACGAGGTGTAGAGGTACAGTATAAGGCACAGAAGAAACCACGGTACGACCGGCCCCGACGAACATTCACGCATATGGTACGCCCACAAGAGGCACGGAAGGCACATGACTACCGGCCCCACGGGCACGACCCGACGGGTACGGAACCCCACGCGGATACGGACCACGGCACGCCCGACGTAGCGCCACGTCCCACGGACGATGTCCCACGGACAGAGGCACGGTACATGAACCACGGCACGAGGTCTCATGGCCCGACGAAGACACGAGGAACCAACGAAGGAGGTCCACGAGGCCCTGCCAGGTGGCACGATAAACCCCACGAGGTACGCCCCACGACCCCAGACACAGTCCCACGTCCACGACACCACGAACCCACAGGTCCCCACACAATGGTCCTCACGAAGACAGAAACCCACGAGGCGGACACGACACGAGGAAACCCACAAGGAACAGCATAACCCCACCGAGGCACAACCCACAGGGTGTCCCAATGGACGGTAACCACAGGCCGTGGTGATCCACCGGGCACGTCCGGACACGTCCCCACGGGCCAGAGGCACGACATGAACCACGAGGCACAAGGAACCCCAGGCACATGGACACAACCACGGCAGGACCCGACGGGGCCCCACGGGTGGAGACACCCCACAGGTGGACACGGAGGCATGGAATGGAGGTACATGACCAATGGAGGCCGCACGGGTGGAACACGTGCCCAGGACCACAAGTGGAAGGGTCTCAGGCATGGACCACATGGAGACCACGGTGTAGATAACGTGGAGACCACAGTGGAGGTACGTGGCATGAGACTCACGGGTGTGAGGTACGTGTGGCAGGATCTCACGAGGCACACGGGGTGGAGACAGATAAACCAATGGAGAAACTTGACAGGTGATCTCATGGACATGGACTTAATGGAGACACATGGAGACCACGAATGGATCTGGATGGGGTAATATGGAGGAAAAGGAGGATGGTATGGAGGGTCTTAAGTGGATGTGGAGATATGGTGGAGGTCTTACCACGGGGCGTAGAGATACGTGTATGTGAGGTCTCACGGGGTGTAGAGGCACGTGTGGTATATGAGGTCTCACGGGGTGTAGAGGTACGTGTGGTATATATAAGATCTCACGAGGCGTAGAGGTACGGTATGTGAGGTCTCACGGGGTGTAGAGGTACGTGTGGTATATGAAGTCTCACGGGGTGTAGAGGTACGTATAGTATATGAGGTCACACGGGGTGTAGAGATAACACTAAGAGTGACTAAAGGGTAGAGGAAATTGCAGAACCAGCTGCAAACAACGATAGATTCGTGAGCGAAAAGAACGATTTTGTCGCATCGTTAGATCCGAACACTGATGTGTGTGTTCACGATCAAAGATAACTTTTTTGTGAAATGTCGTTATTTTTCAGATAATTGTTGTGATGTTCTTTTCAGAGACGCGATTCTGGTGACTTTTGTCAGCGAGGGGACAAGCATGTTTGGTGGCCTGGTTGTTTTCACAATCATTGGTTTCATGGCGCACGAGGCCAACGTCCCTGTCTCGGAGGTGGTCTCGTCAGGTAACGCGAGATGACAGGGACCTCGGGCCCACTCGGCTAATTCCGGCACCTGCTGACAGGCTCTGTATTACTTCACTTGAACAGCGCCAGATCCAGCCGTATAGAGATATAAAATGGGTCGAGATAATGTATTGGTTTGGGTTGAACAGAATGCTTACGAAAAAATAGAAACATCACAAGTAAGCTGACAAATCAGTGTACCTTGAAACTTAAAGCCACTTTTGTTCTTAGTGTTCAAAGCCAATTGATGTAGATATTTTGGTGGTCTGGTATATTGTCTGCTGGCGGTTAGGTGCCTGACTCTGAGGGTGTGGGTTCGAATCTCGGATGAGACTCAACCCGACAAAAGTACTAGAATCTGTACTTTACCAAGAAAGTGTAATCCCAAATATATCATACATTATGTTACATTTGACCACTTGACCTATGCATAGGTATTCTTATAACACTTTAACTCATGAAGCAAAACATACAACCTTTAATTATTTAATGTCGCATGGATAGCGACCATCTTGAACTCAGTTAGCATGTTTCTTTACAAACATCGACTTGTGATCATACATCTTGACACTTTGCACTTGGTCAGTACGCATTGTAAAACATTAAACCGAGGGTCACTGGTCAAATACTAAAGACACACAAAGTATTACGCATTGAACGGGATATTGATATAACATATATTATGACAAGCAAATTATCAGAAAGATTTTAACTTTGTAAAAGTCATCCTTGAAAGTTGAAAGTCACCTTCAGCCAAAGATAACGTGGTTTGCCGACTTACACTTGACAACTGTAACTTAGAAATTCCGCATATTGTTCGAATTATTTTGTATTTAGAGTTTAACTGGCTACAAAGGCGTTTGTATCACCCCTAGCGCCCCTCTTATATTCAATTGATGTGCATAAAGCTTAAAAACACACCCCGCCCTCACCCATGTAACTCGTGCCATACTGGCATTGCAGCATAGATGTCATACACTGAACACGTATAGATTTCAATATGAAACATTAACATAAAACCTGTATCTGATATTCCAGCGTGTTCACAACCCGTTCGGTTGGAATTACCTACAATAGAATTACAAATGACACAGGTTATGTTCATAAGGTAAATGTTATTAGTTACGGCCTTCGGCAACCCACGCTTGTTTTCTATGTCCTTTTCTGCTTATATTTTTTTCATTTCAAACAAGATTGTAATAGGCCGAATCTCGCAAGTCATTACAAGGCAGCAAGGCGAAGAGATGCTGGTCGTACCCGTAAAGATCCGGGTTATAATTGATCTTCAGCAACCCATGCTTGTCTCAAGAGGCGACTAATGGGATCGGGTGGTCAGACTCGCTGTCTTGGTTGACACATGTCATCGTATCCCAATTGCATAGACCGATGCTTATGATGTTGGTTAAACAAGCGAAACAAGCAAGCTAAACGACGGCTAATTGCCAGGCAGCATGGGGTGGTACGGCCCGTTGAGTTTAATGTGGTCTGGAAGCAAATTAGAAAGTCTTTTTTGTTCTTACAGATGGAACAGTCAGGAAATACGAGTTCAAACTGGTCGTACCATCCCACACTACTGTACCACGACTTATTACTCTGTTTAGGTACCAAATTCTCATGTTTTCCGGAAGAGCTTTTACCCGTTTCTCCTCTAATTCTATCTGTTTGGGACGCAAAGTGGTTTGCCATGATTGTCGCAGACGAACATCATTGATCGATAGTCGAAGGGACATAACTCTGGTGGCTTTAAAACTTTTTTTTTAAGGGATTTGTTTTTTTCAAATAATACTACAATCTAGAATCTTTCTTTAGGTTCAATCTTTTTCTACTTCATAGAGTAAAAAAGCAAATTCTAAAAGATATTTTGATCAAAAAAATACTTTTCGTGATAATGCAATAAATTATTCTACAAATGAATAGGATTTCAATGTCAAAGGTCGGAAAGTTTGAAGGTCACCATACCAGTCGTTGGAACAGGGTGAGATGAATTCATGCTACCTGTGAAACTTAAACTACGGTTTCAAATCCAAAGTATTCAGATTTACCTAAAGGGCAATTATGTAAAATGCGCACTTTTATAAAGTGAATACGTTTTTAGTCATCATTTTGGGAAATTCACTTGGATATATCAGCACGCACTCAGCAATATTCCAGCTATATGGCGTCGGTCTGTAAATAATCGAGTCTGGGCCAGACAATCCAGTGATCAACACCCGAACATCGATCTACGCAATTGGGATACGATGACAAGTGTCAACCAAATCAATCAGCCTGACCCCGTTAGTCGCCTCTTACGACAAGCATGGGTTGCTGGAGACCAATTGTAACCCTGACCTTCACGGGTTATCGCCTTGCTCCACGTACTGACGTTCGAGATTCGTCCTCTGCTTTGTCTATTAGAATCTTGTTTAATAAAGAAACCACGAGTAGAAAAGGCTAGGATATAGAAAACAACATCAAACTAATCGGTAATTGTTTAGGTCTCTATCTCAGTTCTCCACATAAGACATCCTCATCAGTGAAGTTTTAAGAGCTTAATATAAAGGTGAGCCCCTGTACCTCTGATTTAACATGTCTGTATTGCATGCACATTGTCTTGCATCATGTTTTGCAACACATTCGCCCTTTGCAATTGCATACACTGCCCTTGATGTTGTAGGTCCGGGGCTTGGCTTTGTGACGTACCCGGAAGCTCTGTCGCGTCTCCCGGTCCCGCAGTTGTGGAGCTTCGTGTTCTCGCTTATGTTGATCGCACTCATGTTAGACACCGTGGTACGTCGGTCTGTCTGTCCGTCACCTTCTGTCTGCTATTATGTCTGTCTGCCTGCCGCGATGTCTGTCTCTGTGTCTGCTGTCTCCGTCTGTCCGTCTCCCTGCCGTGATGTCTGTCTCCACGTCTCTTTCTGTCTGTCTCCCTGCCGTGATGTCTGTCTCCGTCTCTCCGTCTCTTTCTGTCTGTCTCCCTGCCGTGATGTCTGTCTCCGTCTGTCCGTCTCCCTACCGTGATGTCCGTCTCCACGTCTCCTTCTGCCTGTCTCCGTCTGTCTGTCTCCCTGCCGTAATGTCCGTCTCCACGTCTCCTTCTGTCTGTCTCCGTCTGTCTGTCTCTGTCTGTCTCCCTGCCGTGATGTCCGTCTCCACGTCTCCTTCTGTCTGTTTCCCGTCTGTCCGTCTCCACGCCTCCTTCTGTCTGTCTCCGTCTCCACGTCTCCCTTCTGTCTGTCTCCGTCTCCACGTCTCTTTCTGTCCGTGATGTCCGTCTCCACGCCTCCTTTTGTCTGTCTCCCCCGTCTGTCCGTCTCCACGCCTCCTCCTTCTGTCTCCATCTGTCCGTCTCCCGTCTACCGTGATGTCTGTCCGTCTCCCCATGTCGTTCCCTCTGTCTCTGTCTGTCTGTCTCTGTCTGTCTGTCTCCCTGCCGTGATGTCCGTCGTCTCCTTCTGTCTGTCTCCGTCTGTGTCTGTCCGTCCCTGCCGTGATGTCCGTCTCCACGCCTCCTTCTGTCTGTCTCCGTCTCCACGTCTCTCCTGTCTGTCTCTGTTCTGTCCGTCTTCACGTCTCCTTCTGTCTGTCCGTCTGTCCGCCTCCTTCTGTCTGTCTCCTTCTGTCTGTCTCCGTCTATCCGTCTCCACGTCTCCTTCTGTCTGTCTCCATCTGTCCGTCTCCCTACCGTGATGTCCGTCTCCACGTCTCCTTCTGTCTGTCTCCGTCTGTCTGTCTCCCTGCCGTGATGTCCGTCTCCACGTCTCCTTCTGTCTGTCTCATTCTGTCTGTCTCCGTCTGTCTGTCTCTGTCCGTCTCCCTGCCGTAATGTCCGTCTCCACGCCTCCTTCTGTCTGTCTCCGTCTGTCTGTCTCTGTCTGTCTCCCTGCCGTGATATCCGTCTCCACGTCTCCTTCTGTCTGTCTCCGTCTGTCCGTCTCCCTGCCGTGATGTCCGTCTCCACATAAACTCCTGTCTGTCCGTCTCGACGTCTCCTTCTGTCTGTCTCCGCCTTTTCTTCGTGTTGACGCATGTTGTGCTGCCATTATAGTCAGTATATGTCCTGTGTGTTGAGTTTATCCTACACTGATGTTGCAGTTTGCTACGGTGGAGACGGTGATGTCAGCCATCTTTGACCAGTATCCGTGGCTGAGGAAGAAGCGAATCTACCTGACAGCAGGCTTCTGTGTCGTCGCCTACTTTGTGGGTCTCGTCGTCACTACCAGGGTGAGATGTATACACCATACACACCTATATATCTACCATCAGGATGCAATATGAACAAATAATCCCCATCCCGTACTACCGTCAGGATGCAATATGATCAAATATTCCTCAAACCGAAATTATTCCGGTGTATATAGGAGGGTGATATGTAGACACATATCTTTCCCCAAACCCATGTTACACCATGTGAAAGTGCATCCCAACCCATGTTACACCATGTGAAAGTGCATCCCAACCCATGTTACACCATGTGAAAGTGCATCCCAACCCATGTTACACCATGTGAAAGTGCATCCCAACCCATGTTACACCATGTGAAAGTTCACCCTAACCCATGTTACACCTTGTGAAAGTGCATCCCAACCCATGTTACACCATGTGAAAGTGCATCCCAACCCATGTTACACCATGTGAAAGTTCATCCCAACCCATGTTACACCATGTGAAAGTTCATCCCAACCCATGTTACACCATGTGAAAGTGCATCCCAACCCATGTTACACCATGTGAAAGTGCATCCCAACCCATGTTACGCACCATGTGAAAGTTCACCCTAACCCATGTTACACCATGTGAAAGCTCACCCCCAACCCATCTTACACCATGTGAAAGTGTATCCCACTGTGTTTGTTGCAGGCTGGGATGTACATCTTCCAGCTGATTGACTGGTACTTCGCCTTCTTGGTGCTCCTCACAACCGCCTTCCTGGAGTGTGTATGCGTGGCCTGGATTTACGGTAGTATTGTTACAATACTTACACAATAACAATATTTTGGCAATTTTCGACCAAGACCGGATATCGTTAAAAATATGCAATTCGTAAACCGACCATGTTGGAAATACACCAAGATATACATTGGGCAATATATCTACTAATTCGTGATTAATGGTTTTGTTGAAAATGTACGTACGTCATTAAATAATGATTAATTACGTGTACATTGAATGCTAAAAATGGATGACTAAATTAAATATTTAAATATCACCTGGTATATGTAAACTATTCAACTATTTCTTATGATACTGTTATTGATGTTCAATCAGTATGACCAAACATGTCTAAAAGAAATGTAATATTCTCTCATTACATGATGTTTCATTTTCGGAAATTCACTTATTTTCTATGTCCCCACGAGGGTCCCCTGTATGTCATGTACTGTGTGCTTGGTTTTAGGTATAGAGCGGTTCAGTGACGACATTGAGTTAATGCTTGGACGGAGACCGCCATTATTCTTCAAGATCACGTGGTGTTACGTCACACCGTTGTTTATGATGGTAGGCAATATGTTTATTTTCAGTTTATCTCCGCTTCGAACAACATGTGTGTTAAGTTATAGTGTTTGTTGTGGATGAAAAGTTTCAATGCCACCAAGTATTCGCTTTAGTGAAACCCTGGATATGACACTGAGAGAGTCTCAATGTGGGGCCAGTTTCGAAGATCATCGGATCCTGAAATGGCAAAGGGAGACAATGTTGCACAAATGCACAAGATCTTTATGGTCGCAAATAGACCCTACCTCTGTTCCAAGTTGCCCTTAAACTATACCACCACCACCCCCACCACGAAAAGCCTTATCATTTCATGTCTGTACCCTACATATCGTACGGACCGCCTCCGTGGTGTAGTGGTTAGAGCGTCCGCCCGAAGAGCGGAAGGTCGCGGGTTCGATCCCCGACCGCGTCATACCAAAAGACGTTAAAATATGGTACTTGTTGGCCCCTGCCTGCACTCGGCATTAATGGCGGACTGGTCAGCTCGGAGTCAATATAATGTGTCTGAGTGGGGTATTCATGCTTCACTGCGGCATGGCATCTCATACTAGTGGGCTAGCACTATAAAACCAGCTTAAGTCTGGGCTAGTACAAGCAGCCGCACATACACATACACACGCATGCACGTCGTCATATGAGCGACATATTCTCAAGCACGACGTTAAACCCAATTTCACCTCACCTCACCTCACATATCGTACATCGATTTTACGTCTGCTTACTTCAATATAATGGATACTGAACATGAAAAGATAGATTTATACACACCAATTTATGATATGATACCATGTTGATTGAGTGAGTACGATATTTAGTAGCTTTAAATAATATCCTAGCAATATCACGACGGGGGACACCAGAAAAGGACTTCACACATTTGTACCCATTTGGGAATCGAACCTGGCCTTTGGCCTGATAAGCAAATACCTGTGAAGATCCGGGTTAAAATTGGTCTTCAGCAACCCATGCTTGCCGTAAAGGTTTTAGCCTCTAGGCTACCACACCGCCCATATATCATGCAGCCGAAGAGTGGGACAGCAATGGGTGGCTAGGTGGTTTTCTGCTAGCTACATCGGAAACACGGTTCGAATCCTGACACAGACTCAATGATTGTTTGTAAAGGCGGTATTCTCTTTCAAGCAAATAGCATTTGTTATTCATATTGTCACACCAGCTGCGCTCAGAAAAAATGTATTTTGAACCCTGGCACATGTTATGTAAATGTGAGTAATTAGTCATAAGGGGTCATTATCCCCTAGAATGAATCTGTTTCCATCTTTCGATCGACCGTATCTTCTAGGAGTTTGCTCCCTGGTTTTGTCTAATATATCCGTACTTTCTGTAGACAGCCTTCATCTTCACGTTGCTCCAGTACAGCCCGCCTACATACGGGAAGTACAAGTACCCGGATTACGCCGCCACGATTGGCTGGATCCTCGCGTGTATACCAGTCATGCCGGTCGTGGTCGTCATGGTGACGACACTATACAGAGCAGAGGGTTCACTAAAACAGGTATGCAGATCATCACATAGAACAACGCTTGGTCTCTGAATGTATTTAATTTTGATAATAACAAATAAACCTATTTGAATTGAAGAGGAACCCCAGTCAGATAGGAAATTCAGACCTGAGGGAATCTAGACTTGCTTCATTTAGGGCTTTAGCATTGCAGGGAGGGCTAGGCAGTAGGGAAAAATAATGTGGTTCAGGGACTGTGAGACGGAATCTCGACCTGCTTCATTTAGGGCTTTAGCATTGCAGGGAGGGCTAGGCAGTAGGGAAAATAATGTGGTTCAGGGACTGTGAGACGGAATCTAGACTTGCTTCATTTAGGGCTTTAGCATTGCAGGGAGGGCTAGGCAGTAGGGAAAATAATGTGGTTCAGGGACTGTGAGACGGAATCTAGACTTGCTTCATTTAGGGCTTTAGCATTGCAGGGAGGGCTAGGCAGTAGGGAAAATAATGTGGTTCAGGGACTGTGGACGGAATCTAGACTTGCTTCATTTAGGGCTTTAGCATTGCAGGGAGGGCTAGGCAGTAGGGAAAATAATGTGGTTCTCGGGCTGTGAGACGGAATCAAGACTTGCTTCATTTAGGGCTTTAGCATTGCAGGGAGGGCTAGGCAGTAGGGAAAATAAGGTGGTTCAGGGACTGTGAGACGGAATCTAGACTTGCTTCATTTAGGGCTTTAGCACTGCAGGGAGGGCTAGGCAGTAGGGAAAATAAGGTGGTTAAGGGACTGAGACGGAATCTAGACTTGCTTCATTTAGGGCTTTAGCACTGCAGGGAGGGCTAGGCAGTAGGGAAAATACGGTGGTTTAGGGACTGTGGGACGGAATCTAGACTTGCTTCATTTAGGGCTTTAGCATTGCAGGGAGGGCTAGGCAGTAGGGAAAATAATGTGGTTCAGGGACTGTGGGACGGAATCTAGACTTGCTTCATTTAGGGCAGGAGGGCTAGGCAGTAGGGAAAATAATGTGGTTCAGGGACTGTGGGACGGAATCTAGACTTGCTTCATTTAGGGCTTTAACATTACGAGGAGGGCTAGGCAGTAGGGAAAATAATGTGGTTCAGGGACTGTGGGACGGAATCTAGACTTGCTTCATTTAGGGCTTTAACATTACGAGGAGGGCTAGGCAGTAGGGAAAATAATGTGGTTCAGGGGCTCTGGGACGGAAACTAGACTTGCTTCATTTAGAGCTTTAACATTGCGGGGAGGGATAGCCAGAAGGGAAAATAATGTGGTTCAGGGACTGTGAGACGGAATCCAGACTTGATTTATTTAGGGCTTTAGCATTGCAGTGAGGGCTGGGTAGAATCGGATTGGATAAAAATTGTGAACCATTTTTGCAGCTATCTTGACTTACAGCATTTCATCAACTAGCTACTGATTGGACATGACTGGTCTATATACCTGGCTAGGGTAAAAGGGTTTTATTCCTGAATTTCTTTAAGTTTATACACCTATCTCTGTCCATACATGCTTGTCCATACTATTTTATGCAAAAATATTTCCTATTGCTGAAAGACCTCTATACCGTGGTGTTAGATGGACAACTGGCATGCCTTTGCATGTGTTTAGGGCATCATTTTATGTGTTTCACGTAGCCACCAAATTCTGAACATGGATGGTTGGTCGGGAAAAAAAAAAAAAAATTAATAAAGACAAAATTAACTAAATAATGTTCTTGATTTTCATTTATTGTAATTCTTATCACAATTTCTCGCGTTCTTTGGACTGATTTTAAGATATACATTTTAGATGACGAGGCGGTACGTTTTTAGGTTCGAGACGGCTATGTTGGAATGAAAAAGAATAGGGTTTTTGTTTTACGTTGTCCTTTTTCTTTTTTTTTTTTTTTTTTTTTTTCTTTTCTTTTTTTTTTTTTTGGGGGGGGGTGTCGGCACTTTAATTAGAAGGGTCGGTCGGGCGATGAGAACCACAAAAAATACAAATGCTGCCCTTATGACGGGTGCCACCGGTGGGGCATGATACGCGCACTATTTCGCGTACACCTTGTATCATGAGTATTTCATACGGTTTCATAAACCTATGCTCATGACCTAGTCGCGATCGTACAATAGATACTGCTTAAAGTCAATATGTCTTCATGTGAATATGGGAAACGGGTCTTTCTTTTAATGTAGATAGGATATTTTGGTTGATGTGTTTCAGCGCCTCCTTCAAAGCATCACCCCCGACAGCACGTGGAGTCCATCGGACCCCCAAGGCAGGAGGAACTACCTGCAGATACCTCGGGAGCGTCCCTCTCTTAAACAGACCTTCCTTGCTTCAATAGGACTTAGATAATACCCGCACCGACACATTTGACCCCCATACAAACTAGCTATGTACATAAGATGCGTCATGTCTTATATGTTATGTATGTGTTGGGTAGATCGGTCAATGTACAGTTGTGGCGTTGAGATGAAATATCTTTGCTCATTTTTAATTAAGTACCTTACGCCGATCGCTGATCTGACCCTATCACAGACCTCAGTATGTTGTGTATGGTTAAAGGCAATGGTTCACCTTATGGTGCAGTGGGATAACTCAGCGGTAAGAAAGCGTTCACTCTTCGTGCCCCCAAGACTCGGTTCGAGTGAAATCCTCCTCCCTCACTCACCCCAGTGTGCCGTTGTACAAAACAACCTTAGCGCTGAGACTGTCGTAAGTCTATGGTTAGGTTATGGGACTTACGATCACCTTAGCGCTAAGACTGTCGTAGGTCTATGTTTAGGTATGGGACTTACGATCACCTTAGCGCTAAGACTGTCGTAGGTCTATGTTTAGGTATGGGACTTACGATCACCTTAGCGCTAAGACTGTCGTAGGTCTATGTTTAGGTATGGGACTTACGATCACCTTAGCGCTAAGACTGTCGTAGGTCTATGTTTAGGTATGGGACTTACGATCACCTTAGCGCTAAGACTGTCGTAGGTCTATGTTTAGGTATGGGACTTACGATCACCTTAGCGCTAAGGTTGTTTTCTACAACGACAACCAGGTCTACATAGCCAGACTAATCTCTCCTCTTTATGTGTTACGAAACCCCTTCACATTTAGAGATTTATATGACTAAGTGATTTGGAAAGTGTGTAGAGGGGCTAACCTGCCGCCTTAGTCTGTCCCGTAGTCCCAGTTACAATATACTACGTTTATTACGAACTCGCTTACAACCAACGAAATATGTTTTAGGTCCTGGGGCCCGATCCACAAAGCGTTCGTAACGTTACGACCTGTCGCAACTCTATAGTTTATCATAGACTTACGAATGTCGTAGCGCTACGAACGCTTTGTGGATCGGGACCCTGGCTCTTTGCTGTATATTTTAGTCGAAACTATCATAACGAGGTACGATTATAGTTAACTAACATTAGTGGTCCCTTATGTTGTTATCGCCTTATTTTACTATAGATTCCTCCTGCATCGGCGGGCGGTGGGGTAGCCCCGTGGTTAAAGCGTTGGCTCGTCACGCCGAAGACCCGGGTTCGATTACAATGTGTGAAGCCCATTTCTGGTGTCCCCGCCGTGATGTTGCTGGAAAATTGCTAAAAGCGGCGTAAAACCAAACTCTGTCAATCAGTCCTGCATCGGCCCTTCTTTATGCAAATGTTCTAAATGAAGCAAGTCTAGATTTTCACCAGGTTCATTTCTGAATCTTCCGTCTCACCTTGGCTCCCTTTAAGTTTAAATTGAGTACTTTTTCTTTAAAAATTCCATCCTTTCAGAGACTAAGTGTTAGTCTAGTTGCCGCCTATATTTGTAAGCTATATATAGTCAGTTGGACGTTGATTTTTATATTCTGTGGCGCTGCGTCGGCTGGTCTCACTATAAATCATATTCTGTGCCAGAATTTATTGATGATGGAAAAATATTTTGCCCTCAAATTTCACATACATCCCATAATATACTAAAACAATTATATAAGAAGTCTCAAACGAAACACCTTCTTTAATGCGAAACGACCACTCCAAGATTGTTCCATCTCGTTATGTTTTTGCAACATCCTATACACATTCACTCACTCTCAACCACTCTCGCTCTCTCACTCACTCACTCTCACTCACTCACACATTGACTCACTCTCACTCACTCACTCACACATTGACTCACTCAGATGTGATGTATGATTACACTCACCAAACATTATTTTGCGACTTTGGACGGTCCTATGGAGGTTTGTCCTCGGCAAAAGTTATATGAAAAATCGAGTTATTTTAATCAGATTTTAGCCCAATTTCGACCAACCCCCATTTATATCTTATGGTTTGTCAGCACTCTGTCCATTGTCACTCACTCACTCATTCATTCACTCCAAACATAATGTTGCTACTTTGGACTTTCACCTAAGTCGACCTCCTATGGAGGTTTGTCCTCGGTGGGCTATATTATATCATAGTTAAAGATCTTATCTTAAACTGATTTATGCCCGGTTTTGCCCGCCTCTATATTTTAGGCACCATGCTCTTGTTCACTCACTCACTCAAATAACATATCATATCATGTTCTCTTTTGTTGTCTTGTCAGAAGCAGGTGAAAGTCTATCATTTTCAGCACGGAAATATGTTCAGAGAAAGTTTCCTTGTGTGCGGTTGGTATACTGATACCCGAGGGCTCGAACCAACCATTCCAACGACTAGATCCCAGCTTCCACGTACTCTTGCCATTAAACTCACAGCCAATGTTCACAGACTTAGCAGATAAAATGTCTAAACAACAGACACAAAAGAAAGTACACAACCTTTTTTTCTCTGGGATTAGTTTCAACAACAACAAAATCCACGTAAATATTTTGAAAGCCGTTTTTATTGTCACTCACAACTCACAAACTGTATAGCCTACATGTTGCTAAATGTTGCTAAATAATATTAAAACATCCAGATGTGTGCTCTCTTTCGTCCGTCAGTTTATATGTGTATGTGTAGTCTCAATAGATGACATTCTTGGTCCAAACATATGTGCATGATTGATCCCAAAGGTCACTCTTGGACTTTGTAGACGGAACCAGCTGATTCTAAGCGTTACTATAAATCACACAAAATAATTTCCCTATAGGATATTAACGGAATCTAAACAAGTCAGATTTCATTGTTGAGCTATAGGGGCCATGTGGTAGCCTGGTGGTTCGCTCGTCACGTCGAAGGCCCGAGTTCGAGTCCCCATATGGGTATAATGTGTGAAGCCCGCCCATTTCTGGTGTACCCCGTCGTGTTATTGCAGGAATATTGATAAAAGCGGTCAGTTGACCTCTATGGGCACGTTCCTGGGTGTATATAAATATTGTATCTTACGTCACATGCGGAATACGTGTCTTGTATTAGTCAGTGACATCTAAATACATTTCTGTGAACAGTGGTGTACAGTTTCATAAAATATACTCTGCTGTCATAGGAACTGAGGCTCTGACGATCACTGTCCGACCTTAAATCAAAGCTCCTTACAGGTTAACGGCTTCGCGCAGTGTCCATTAACATTGACGCTAAATGTACGTGTCTGGAGATATATCGACAAACGATTATCCGCTAATATGGTGCTGCCAAAACAAGCTGTCTTCAGTCGCATGACATTTTTTTGCTTAAATCTGTTCCCGTTTTAATGTTGTTATTTCAATAAACGAGTATGCATTTTCTTGTGTTATTTTGTGTTTGCAAAATTTAACCTCCAAAATCCCACCGACATTTGACAATATTTGACTCTCGTGGCCAATGATTTGTTTTGGAAAAGTCAAAAAATATCCAGAAAACAGAGTTTCTTTAACCTTTGGCCTAACTACTCCCGTGGGTCGAGAAAGTGCCCCATGAACCTTTGTTTGTCTTAAGCTGACTGACTGACTGAGTTTGGTTTTACGCCGCTTTTAGCAATATTCCAGCAATATCACGGCGGGGGGACACCAGAAATGGGCTTCACACATTACCCATCTAAGGAATCAAACCCGGGTCTTCAGCGTGACGAGCGAACGCTTTAACCACTAAGCTACCCAACCGCCCCTTGTGGACGTAAGCTGAGATCACCGGAAACACGAAAAAGAATCTTACTCACTCACTTTCATCCACGAGCTTCTGTTATCAGTCACACAATGAGAATGTGTAACATCTAATTTGATTTAAGGGTTTCGTATTAGAAGAAAAATGTTGTCGTTAATTATTAAAAAAATAAAGTGTGGGTTTTTTCGTTTTAGTTACGTTTTCTTCCTTGGAGGGGTGGAGATGGGGCGTATTTTCTATGTTTAAATGCGTCATTCAATAGGTGTCAAGTGTGCGCTATCAACCCCAAAGCACAACTCCAGACATTAATCAGTTTCGATCAGCAGATTCGTTAAAAGCAAATTTGCAGTTATGAGTGAGTGAGTTTAGTTTTACGCCGCATTCAGCAATATTCCAGCTATATGGCGGCGGTCTGTAAATAATCGAGTCTGGACCAGACAATCCAGTGATCAGCAGCATGAGCATCGATCTGCGTAATTGGGAACCGATGACATGTGTCAACCAAGTCAGCGAGCCTGACCACCCGATCCCGTTAGTCGCCTCTTACGACAAGCATGGGTTACTGAAGATCAATATTCTAACCCGGATCTTCACGGGTCTTGCAGTTATGACGACAGTGAGTGAGTGAGTGTGGTTTTACGCCGGTTTTAGCCATATCACGGCGGTGGACACCAGAAATGGATGGGCTTCACACATTGTTCCTATGTGGGGAATCGAACCCAGATCTACGGCGTGACGAGCGAACGGGCTACCCAACCGCCCCTAACATGACAACAGCAGGTGCTGCAAAAACAGTAACCGCGTTATGTTGAAGCACCCGCCAGACCTAATGTTCATTAGAAATAGGGTGCTGATCTTGTCGATCGTGAAGTTTATTATTGTTTTGTATTAACAAGTGAACTATAATGCTGGCAATACTTCACTGAATAGTGAATTTTCGGATTTTCTCTACCTAGGACTGACAGATTATTCGCCTTATAAAAGTGTTGTCCCACACCAACAACCTGTGTTAAATCACACCATGTCATATACATTGTTTGTTTGTTGTTTAACGCCACACTCAGGAATATTCCAGCAAAATGGCGGGGGACTGTAAATAATCGAGTCTGGGCAAAATAATCCAGTGATCAACAGCATGAGCATCGATCAACACAGTTGGTATACTGACCACCCGTTAGTCGCTTCTAACGGCAAGCATGGGTTGCTGAAGACAAATTCTAACCCGGATCTTCACAGGTACCATGTCATATACAACGACTAAATAGACAAAATAGATTTTTATTGCTAATATAATTAATAAACATGTGGCATACATATGTACAATATAATTATATAGTTGATAATATATCAGTACGATGGTACCAAACTACCTGTACCTTATATAAACATTTAACAGCAGCTAATTAATTCAGATTCATTTTTTAAACGGCGTTTTAATATTGCTATAATCCCCGACCTTTCTATGTAGTGCTGATGTGATGTGAATATTCGATCGCAACAACTGTAAAACAGGGTCTCTTATTGTAGACCTGTGTCTGAAAAGTACATTCATCTTTTATGTTGGTTGAAGATTGATACTTCGTTATTTAAATAAAGAAATATTTAAAAACAAAAACAAACAAATTACTTGAATATCGATTGATTCTTAATTCTAATGTATTTACCTACGATCTCATATGGGAATAGGTTTCAGTATATGTGACATTATTATGTAAGCATATTTTTCCGGCTACTTGATTGGTCTAGAGGCGGTCACCTGACCGTCGACAGAAAAGCATATTGACTCCAACCCAGGTCCGACCAAAAGTCATATTGACTTTGAGTTACTAAAAATAGATTTTGACGTCAAGCTATGGCGTCGTTCTATTGTTTTTCATGTCACAGTATTGTTGACACAACGTTATTGGTTTGTAGCGAAAATAAAATGACTTTCTTGACTAAATGGACATGTTTTGGTTTTTAGAAGCTTTCTTTCCGGTAATTACAAAAAACCAAACAATTATGGACTGGTGAATTCGGTCAATACCTGCTTTTATGGACCCGCGGGTCCATAAAAATAGGTATTGACCTCATCACCAGTCTATAATTATCAAATATTATTGAGGATTTAGAGCAGAAACAGTGGAGATAATGACGTGTGACGTCATCAACACTAATGACGTCATCAGCATATGGTATGTTGACAAGCTGTGCAGTTTATATCACAACTATATATCAGAGTTTCTACAAATTGTGATTTTATTGTGGTGTGTCGCCGGGTCATCTGATATAACCAATTGCTCGTGACTTTTTATTATTATTATTTTATATTTTTAAATTTTTAGTAACTACCTGTTATCTTGATCTTGAGTTTTCTAATCTGTTTGCCAAATACATAAGTTCACATTTCGTAGACGATAATGTTATTCATACTTTACATGGACACGTGTTTACGAAAGCGAATATATTTAGCATCTGTTCGGGTTTTCTTTTCAGAATGAGTCATTTAATATTAATATGAAACATCATTAACGATGATTTCATTACGTCGGTGTCCTTTACAGGCAACTTTATTCCCCAACATATAAATCTTGGACAATGTCGTATTATCTGTTCAGCTGCGTATTTACCAAAGGATGCGGGGCTTACTGTATGATGTAAATAATATCATTTGACAATATTTCGAACACATGTCAGGTTAATGCCCGTAGTGATGCGGGTCTTAGATTCTTTCTTTTTACATTGACGAAATCTGTAGAAACACACAGGATTGGTACTTACAGATTCAGAAACAGAGCGAATCATAGATTCAAATCACAAAGACAGGTTTCAGACCAAGGGACGCAACTCTACATGGCAACGTTGCATTCGTGACCAACTCGTGTTATTCCGGGACAAGCCGAATAGCGATCTTCCATTCCATTCGTCACCACTCGCCCCTTTCCGTAACCTCCAAGTCGGTTTCATTCCATTCGTGACCAACTCGTGTTATTCCGGGACAAGCCGAATAGCGATCTTCTTGGAGGTTACGGAAAGGGGCGAGTGATGACGAATGAGTCGGCTTGTCCCGGAATAACACGAGTTGGTCACGAATGAGCGATCTTCTTGGAGGTTACGGAAAGGGGCGACGAATGGGCAACGTTGGGCCAGTCATGTCCCAAAATAAATTACTTCAAAGAAAGGTTTCAGGCCAAGAGACACAACTCTGCATGGCAACTCTGGTCCAGTCGTGCCCCGAAATGAATTACTTAAACAACAAGTTCATTTGTGTGGTTCAGACATGAGTGTTGTCCGACTCCCATGTGCCACAGAATTCGTGTCCAATAAAGTCCTGGATAGTCAACATATGTATTATTATGTCTAAATCCTGCTTGAGAAAATGGTGAGTGAGTGAGAAAGGTTCTATGCCGCTTTTTACAAAACTGCAGCGATGTGGAGGCGGGGACATAAAGTATGTTGTACACGTGTGGAGAATCGAACTCAGACAATTAATCGCTTTATCCACTGGGCTGTTCCACCTCCTGGGTAATATAAATGTATGTGACGTATTCCGAAGACACGCCCTGCTGTGGAATATGATGAGTACGAGGTGGTTGGTCAGAATTCAGATAGGAAAGTATTTCCAGCCCTTTGTTACAGAAGTAGACTTGAGACGTCTAGAACTGGTTCTTGACGTCGTCTAGGAGAGGAAGCCAGCAACAAAGATGGCGATGAGGAGCATGATCACGAAGAGGACAAAGCTGGCGATGACGAAATCCCACAGGATGGTGCGTCGAACGCCGAGAAGAGTGTCGCTGTATTTGGACTGGAGAAATACAAGAAACGTATTATGCACACATATCAGGTTCGATACCTATTGCTTGTTGTTAAACGCCTCACTCAGCAACATCCCAGCTATGTAGTCTGCCGTATTTATTCGAGCTATATCGATATGGTGAGGTTTAATGAGTGAGTGAGTGAGTTTTACGCCGCTTTTAGCAATATTCCAGCAATATCACGGCGGGGGACACCAGAAATGGGCCTCACACATTGTACCAATAGGTAACCACTGTAAATACTAGGCTACCCCACCGTTCCTCGTTGAGATTTAAGTAACAACGATTCCAACTGCCATGATATGAAGAGTGGGTGAGTGAGTATGGTTTTACGCCGCTTTTAGCAATCTTCCAGCAATATCACGGCGGGGGACACCAGAAATGATGATATGAAGAACGGAATCATCTAAGCCTGACGACCCAGCCCAAAAGGTCTCTTGATACCAGTATATTTTACTGGGGACCTATCTATCCCTGTATATCCACTGGGTATGTCAGATCGCAGGGATGGGGCATATACTGGCACTCAGCATGCAGGCCCCCAGATGGCATTTCGGAAATGATAGATGAAACTGAAGTACAGTTAAACACGGTTATGTCAGCTTGCTGTTGTCTCAGGGCGGCGGGGTAGCCCAGTGGTTAAAAAGGGTTCGTACCATTTCTGGTGTTCCCCGCCGTGATATTGCTATAATATTGCTAAAAGCGGCGTAAACTCACAACTGTTGTCTCGATGTAAAAAAAATGGCCCCTTCGTATTATTTCTTTATGAAACATTTTTCGGTTGTGTCGAACCTCTGATAACTCGAAGTATTACCGTAGGTCCCTTCAACATCGACACAACGGTGTTCGAGGGTAATATGTAATAAGGTGCTACAAAACATTCACTCATCATATGGATAATTGATTGACGCTTTTAATAATTGATCTTGCCATTCCTCGGATAAAAGAGAATCAAATGGTTGGTTCCTTTACGAAACCAAACAAGAACAGTACAGTACAGTTAAGTCAAACCAAACACTTTATGCATTCTACGTCAATGGTATACATCATAGCTTCATTAATTAACGCTGGCGTGACTTTCCCATGTGCATTGTAACAATAACGGGTATTATGCAAGGTGATTTACTGTGACGATATATTATATATGACTGTGAAATTGTGCCATGTGGCTCTATTATATTTTAGTTTCACATGTATATACTGCAGATGGCGTATAAATCGCTTGTAAAGTCCAGAAAGGAATTTGTCCTGATGACGTCATGTTCGATTTTGGTTAGTGGGTCAGGTAACCCGTCTGCTCATTGACATGAAAGATTCAAGATAAACTGCGTTATTGACTTTCTTGTTACCCTATTGTACCGAGAGCAAACTATCAAAGATACATCCCTACGGTGAGAACATGGTACCTTCTAAAGGATATTTAGTCTATACGCCGTCTCCAAGCTGGAATATTGCGGAGTGCGGCGTTAAACAACAAACAAATGAGGACATCATCCTCTGGATACTGCTGACTCAGATGACAACATACTCTGGGTACTTCTGACTCAGATGACAACATACTCTGGGTACTTCTGACTCAGATGACAACATACTCTGGGTACCTCTATCACAGATCACAAAATACTCTGGGTACCTCTATTGCAGATGACAACATACTCTCGGTGCTTCTATCACAGATGACAAAATACTCTGGATACTTCTATCAAAGATGACAACATACTCTGGGTGCTTCTATCACAGATGACAACATACTCTGGACACTTCTGACTCAGATGACAACTTACTCTGGGTACTTCTATCACAGATGACAACATACTCTGGGTACTTTTATCACAGACGACAACATACTCTGGGTACTTCTTTCACAGATGACAACATACGCTGGGTACTTCTATCACAGATGACAACATGCTCTGGGTACTTCTATCACAGATGACAACATGCTCTGGGTACTTCTGACTCAGATGACAACATACTCTGGGTACTTCTATCACAGATGACAACATACTCTGGGTACTTCTATCACAGATGACAACATACTCTGGATACTTCTGACTCAGATGACAACATACTCTGGGTACTTCTATCACAGATGACAACATACTCTGGGTACTTCTATCACAGATGACAACATACTCTGGGTACTTCTGACTTAGATGACCACATACTCTGGGTACTTCTGACTTAGATAACCACATACTCTGGGTACTTCTATCACAGATGATAGAATTCTAGGTACTTTTAACACAAAACAAGGTATTTAAGCTATTTTGTAAAGCATATTCCGGGATTATTTTCAAACAATAGTATTCAACGTATTAAGTATTCTAGGTTTTATCTATCACAGAATACCCTCTGCCAATCGTCTCCATCCCCACCACCATTACTCAAAAAGAGGATTTTGTCTTGATACTTTGAGTCCATACATACCAACTGCGACCAAATATCCGAATTTGCCACTACCAGGTTTAGTGCATAACACGTGATTAGTAAGCGTGAAACGAATACACAGAACACAGGTATTGGATGTGATCGGGGCGGTGGGGTAGCCTAGTGGTTAAAGCGTTCGCTCGTCGCGCCGAAGACCCGGGTTCGATTCCCAAAATGGGTAAATGCGTGAAGCCCATTTCTGGTGTCCCGAACTGTGATATTGCTGAATATTGCTAAAAGCGGCGTAAAACCATACTCACTCAGTCACTGGATGTAATCACATAAAGTGATGAGAGTCCCGAAAATTGAGGATTAAAATGTTTATAGACCGTGCCTACAAATGGAAATGTCATACAAAAAGGACCGTATGCATGACAATACCAGACATAATTCAAGCATCCGTCTTCGGTCATCTAGGGTATCAGCTTATTATTCTGAATACTGAATCATAACTAATGTCCAGAATGTGACGTCATTGTCCATTTCTCTTGTCTTTAACCTCGCACAGAATTTCCTTCGTTCAAACGTGTTATATGGGTAAATGGCTGTTTTAGTATCGTCTATCAAATAGGACTCAAAACCAAAAAGACGAATGAACCTGTTGTATCTATCTCAGCAGAATGGGGATATATTTCCCTGCATACTGGAGGATCTGATGTAAAAACCTTAGGTAACAGAATTCAGTATAATTAGGTAACATATCGTTTATAACATATGTTCCAACATCCCGGAAACCGGTCACGGAGAACGACACCTGGAGGGCAACGCAAACGGAAGTCGGAGAGCCGGGAAATGAGATTCCTGTTTTTTGTAGGGGTTCATTTTTAACGTAATGGTCCTGAGCCCATTTGCACGAGGCGATATTAGGACATAAGACCACCGTAGTTCTATGTTAGAGAATGGAAGTTACGATCATCGTAGACCTAAGGTCGCTTTGTGCATGTGGACCCTGCTCCCTGGAATCGTTTCGCTCGGGACTGCCTGTAAAGAACCGCTCTTGCGGTATCCGACGGAGATTTGATTGCACAATAGGAACCCAGATGAAAAATCTAATGCAAGTGCCCATTGTGAAGAGAACCCAGCTACTGGTTGAGCGTTAAAGTGAGGCAAACTCGGACATTAGACCAGTGTGTACGTATGCATCATACCAAATTACGTATAGCGGGATCTTCTCGTAGGCAACCACTGGACCGATCGGTTGATCCAGTTCTCAGTCCGATACTGTCAATACGGGGCAAGACTGGTTAGTGAAGTCAAACACAGGCACACAAACAGGATGATTACAGAAGACGTTGAGACAGGTAGGGACAGGCAGACAGAATCGATATTTGTACTAGAACCTATTTTGGGGACACTGTTATTCTTTTTAGTCTTCGATTGACGAAATGTTCTGTGTTCAATCGATTATCAGAAACAGATTGCCAGAATGGAAGGACAGTGATTATCAGAAACAGATTGCCAGAATGGAAGGACAGTGATTATCAGAAACAGATTGCCAGAATGGAAGGACAGTGATTATCAGAAACAGATTGCCAGAATGGAAGGACAGTGATTATCAGAAACAGATTGCCAGAATGGAAGGACAGTGATTATCAGAAACAGATTGCCAGAATGGAAGGACAGTGATGATCAGAAACAGATTGTCAGAAAGTCCATCCAAGTAAAATTAGAATGTACAAGCATTCTTAAAAATGGTACTTTGGAATATTGTTCTAACGATCAAATACAGTATACAGGTGTGTTACAAACACTAGATATAACTATTTAAACCAGATACATACCCTTCTTTCATAATCATCCGGCAACCTGGAAACGACTGGTGGAGGAAGCTTGTTGTTGTACTCGGGTTGTCGCACCATCCAGTTGGTACCGTCGGGTTGTTCCTCTACCACATGCCTCACCGTCACATACTCGGGCTCCTTGGGAGGTGGCATCACGGGCACCAGGACAGGCTCCGGGGTCTTAGGCCTCACAGGAACCTCGTACTCGATGACCTTTTGTTTCGGGGGAGGTGGGGGCATTATGAAAATTGGTTCTGGCTCCTGATTCACCTCCATCGTTATCAGTTTGGGTTCCTTCTTTGGAGGAATGATCATGATCGGTTTCTGTTCACGCGTTCCCCTCCGGTGGGGCAGAGTGTAGCTCCTGACGTTGCGGCTATACGCGGGAATCTCCATGTTGCCGAAGCCTTGTTGTGAGACCACAGCGCGTTCCTCGGGGAAGGATTGGGAGAATGGTTGACTGTAGGGCTGGTACGCGTACCTCTGACCTGAAAGAATTGACAAAATCTAATTAGAGGAAGTCATCGAGATTAACCCAAAGACTGGAAGACCTCATTTAACACATGACCAAAATACATAATGATTGGACTAGATTTCCCGTTCTTCACAATACGCCAGTGTTATAATTACAAATTATTCTAAGCTGAGAGGTGAGGTGAGGTGAAATTGGGTTTACGTCGTGCTTGAGAATATTTCGCTCATATAACGACGTGCATGCGTGTGTATGTGTATGTGCGGCTGCTTGTATTAGCCCAGACTTAAACTGGTTTTATAGTGCTAGGGCACTGAGATACCACGCCGCAGTGAAGCATTAATATCCCACTCAGACACATTATACTGACTCCGAGCCAACCAGTACCCATAATGCCAAGCGCCAGGCAGGGACCAACAAGTACCATATTTTAACGTCTTTTTGTATGACGCGGTCGGGGATCGAACTCGCGACCTTCCGCTCTCCGGACGGACGCTCTAACCACTACACCACGGAGGCGGGCTTTTCTAAGCTGAGAACCACCGAGAGCGAAATGTCATGATAATGTACACATAAAACAACAAAACTATTTCCATTATCGTAAGAAATCGCTGCCAAATTTGTCCGTACATAAAAATCCAATACTAATGATGATGATGATGATGATGATGATGATGATGGTGATGATGGTGATGATGGTGATGATGATGGTGGTGATGATGATAATGGTGATGATGAGCCGTTTTTCCCCCGCGCACCGGCTGCAACCGTTACAAATATTTGCAAAGTGTAAGCACTGCTGCCTCACCGGTGAACCCTTGGGATTGAGCTGCGCTCGGAATAAAGGCTCTACGACTACCTTTTATCATTTGATTCTCATCGTAAACCGTGTGTGTTTCTTCGCAGTGCCACAAATGCCACCAGCAAACATTCACACAGTGATCCATTCATAAAACTGTTACCGTTGCTTTTCATTTGACGCCCGGGGACGGCGGGGTACGATAATTGAGACTGGTTTACCTCTGGTATTAACGTTATATTTACTTGAAGACTGTTTATGTCAATGACAATTTATTCGGTTGAACAGGGTAAATTAGAATTAAATTGATTTCTCTTTGGGTAATACCATAATGAGGGGGGGTCATTTTTGGTAGAGGGCGCCACTACATGGGGGTATATAAGGGCTTGCTAAGTGGGGTTGTTCCATATCTCCTGTGGTGTCGCCGGAACAGCTTAGTCTGATTTCTTTTCTTTTGATATCAGTATGCATTGTGCATTGTTCATTATGCATTGTGCATTATGATCATGATCAGTTTCTGATCTTGCTTCAAGACGGAGGGCGGTGGGGTAGCCGAAGACCCGGGTTCGAATCCCCACATGGGTACAATGTGTGAAGCCCATTTCTGGTGTCCCCGGCCGTGATGTTGCTGGAATATTGATAAAGCGGCGTAAAACCAAACTCAGTCAGTCAAGACGGAATGGTGCGAAAGTGACAAGCGCTGTTCACCAAGCAGAAAATGGGTACCCGATTGGATAAATCATGTAGCTATAATATTAACCTTCCAGCGCCTCACAGGCAGCTTGCCTTATCCGGGGTAATAATAATCAGATTGTGAGTTATCCCTTTGAGCATGTGCCTTGTAATGGAAAGGGCGCATTATAAATTCACAATTATCAATTAATCATTACGAGTGGGGGCGGTGGGGTAGCCTAGTGGCTAAAGCGTTGGCTCCTCACGCCGAAGACCCGGGTTCGAATCCCCACATGGGTACAATGTGTGAAGCCCATTTCTGGTGTCCCTCGCCGTGATGTTGCTGGAATATTGCTAAAAGCGGCGTAAAACTCAGTCAGTCAGTCATTACGAGTGGATTATGATCTTGCATCTTACAGTGAGATGGTTTGTTACGTTGTTCAGAACCACGAAAGCTGGTTTAAGTGACGCGCTTGGGCGTGGGTAAATGCCTCGGCGAGAGTGCCATAGGGGAAGGCACAGGGAAATGCCACAGGGGAAGCCAAGACAAGTTTATTTTCTCAAAAACCACCCACGGTGGTACTATATAAACAGACAAGAATGGTGGTATCAGTAGGATAGATTATTTCAACTTTTCAAAAACAATATTTAGATATTTCGACAGGTTTTCAATTCTGACACTTTTCTTGTACAGATTAAACGTTTATATTTGTACATATTTGGCCATTTAAAATAAAATTCATTTATAAGGACAACGTTCTGTTTCAAAGGCTGTACATCTAAATAAGTAGTGTACTTCATCTGCAATGGCTTGAGAATCGCACAGAGGACATGTTCTGTCCTCACGGGATAGGCCACGCCATCTGCCGGTTTCTACTTGAAAATTGTGGTTACTTGTTCTTAATGTTAAAAGCCACAGGGAAAGCCACGATGTGTGTTTGTTCTATATCTGGATTGGCTTGGTTTGTGAGAGAACGGCTGAATTATTAAAGTGAGGATGTTACGTTCAAGCGCTGTAACGGCAAAACGACTGTTAGCGTTAACGAATGGGAATCATGATCGTCTTAACGCAAAAATTGCTTTGCGGAACGGGGCACTTATTAATATAATTTAACAGATTGTTATAGATCATTCATTCTGGATGAAAACACCCTTCACTTTACACATCAAACCAGTAAATTTAAGTGTGCTCGGTGATGCAATGCCATCGACATCACCTATAAAATGTAAATAGTAATGACTGCTCAACATTCAGAGAGGCGTGGCCAACTTCCCAGGCGTATGGTGGCCGAGAAGGGACACTTTCGGTTAGAGAAAAAGCGATAAGACGAGACGAGAAAGCGATATCACGAGACGAGAAAGCGATAGTGTGAGATGAGAAAGCGATATTTGTTGATCGCTTTCAATCGTGCTATGGTTTTCTCGCTTTCTGGACAGCCGTAATTGAAGGCGAGAGAGAGCGATGTCCCTTCTCGGCCACCATAGTATATGCCGCCAAGCACGAGCTGCTGCTGCTAGGGAAGAGGTCTTCGGGTGGATGCGTCTCGGGTCTCGGGTCACCGGGCACACTGAAGAGGGAAAGGGTGGGGACCGGGTGGTCGCCTGTCGCTCCGTGAAACAGCCTGTCAAGCTTGTTTAGCGACTCTGTGTCTATATTTGTGTTTAGATTAACTGGGCGGTTGTGAGGAAGGGAGGGCGGGATGTGTTCTAGACATACTTGTTTCACTGCCCATCAGTCAGGAGCAGAATACACGACCACAAGACTTATAACTGACAATAGTGGGTGGGTGAGAGTGGTTTAACGCCGTTTTTATTGATATCACAGCAGTGTCGCCTGTAATGGGAGTAGCTGATTGCGCCCATATAGGAATGGAAAACGTTTCAGTAGGGGTATTTCGTGCCCATATTTGTGTTGACGTCTAGCCTGTACAGGAGATCTTGGACATACGTATCATATTTGTGTTGACGTCTAGCCTGTACAGGAGACCTTAGACATACGTATCATATTTGTGTTGAAGTCTAGCCTGTACAGGAGACCTTAGGCATACGTATCATATTTGTGTTGACGTCTAGCCCCTGTACAGGAGACCTTAGACATACGTATCATATTTGTGTTGACGTCTAGCCCCTTTACAGGAGACCTTAGGCATACATATCATATTTGTGTTGACGTCTAGCCTGTACAGGAGACCTTAGACATACATATCATATTTGTGTTGACGTCTAGCCTGTACAGGAGACCTTAGACATACATATCATATTTGTGTTGACGTCTAGCCTTTACAGGAGACCTTAGACATACATATCATATTTGTGTTGACGTCTAGCCTGTACAGGAGACCTTAGACATACATATCATATTTGTGTTGACGTCTAGCCTGTACAGGAGACCTTAGACATACGTATCATATTTGTGTTGACGTCTAGCCTGTACAGGAGACCTTAGACATACGTATCATATTTGTGTTGACGTCTAGCCCTTTACAGGAGACCTTAGACATACATTTGTGTATCATTTTGTGTTGACGTCTTGCCTGTACAGGAGACCTTAGACATACGTATCATATTTGTGTTGACGTCAAGCCTGTACAGGAGACCTTAGACATACGTATCATATTTGTGTTGACGTCAAGCCTGTACAGTAGACCTTAGACATACGTATCATATTTGTGTTGACGTCAAGCCTGTACAGGAGACCTTAGACATACGTATCATATTTGTGTTGACGTCTAGGCTGTACAGGAGACCTTAGACATACATATCATATTTGTGTTGACGTCTAGGCCTTTACAGGAGACCTTAGACATACGTATCATATTTGTGTTGACGTCTAGGCTGTACAGGAGACCTTAGACATACATATCATATTTGTGTTGACGTCTAGCCTGTAAAGGAGACCTTAGACATACATATCATATTTGTGTTGACGTCTAGCCCCTTTACAGGAGACCTTAGACATACATATCATATTTGTGTTGACGTCTAGCCTGTACAGGAGACCTTAGACATACGTATCATATTTGTGTTGACGTCTAGCCTGTACAGGAGACCTTAGACATACGTATCATATTTGTGTTGACGTCTAGCCTGTACAGGAGACCTTGGACATACGTATCATATTTGTGTTGACGTCTAGCCTGTACAGGAGACCTTAGACATACATATCATATTTGTGTTGACGTCAAGCCTGTACAGGAGACCTTAGACATACATATCATATTTGTGTTGACGTCAAGCCTGTACAGGAGACCTTAGACATACGTATCATATTTGTGTTGACGTCAAGCCTGTACAGCAGGCCTTAGACATACGTATCATAATTGTGTTGACATATTCGTATATGTATCTACCACTGTTGTGACAAGGTCAAGTCAGTACGTGTCATCGTATATGTACCTACCACTGCTGTGACAAGGTCAAGCCAGTACGTGTCATCGTCTATGTACCTACCACAGCTGTGACAAGGTCAAGCCAATACTTGTCATCGTATATGTATCTACCACTGCTGTGACAAGGTCAAGCCAGTACGTGTCATCGTCTATGTA